ACATGGGATCTCACACTTGGATCCATTGCTCACATCAACGGAACATGTCCTCCACATTCTGGAAAGATTTTCAATACAAAGGAATCCTGCTCGTGGATCCACTGCTAAATCTATTGGCCAATTCTTGTTTGAGTTAGCCATCAATCACTTGATCAAACCTTACCATTGTTAAGATTGTTAAAACATTGGGAGAAATTCATCGATGGATAGTGATTAAATCACATAAGTGAACTTGACACTACATCGTAATCTAAAACCTTAAAATATTAAGTTAATGGATCTTTCTCACTTATATATTAGTTAACATACCTAACTTTGTTCGATATGAGACTTTAATTCACACTTGAACTTTAACACTTCTTTCAAATGCAACTCTCTTCCACATGGTATATATGATGCAATTTGAGATAATGAATATTTATTGAGTTATATATTATTGTGGAATTAGGAATGATGACCTATATCACATTAAATAAACTTGTGTGACTTTTTCTTATATCTTCATGTTTTTTTTTCTTTTTCTTTTATGTTCTTTTATCATTGAGTGTAAAGATATTTTTTCCAACACATTACAAATTTGGATTCTCACTAATTGTTAACAAAAAAAAAAATTTGTTTTATTTGTAACAATGATGAGAAACATTGAAAACAATACCATAAATAAATAGAAAATGATCACACAAAATTTATTTAATGTATTTTGGTCCTTAATGCCTATGTCCACAAAGATATTTATTATCTCAAAATATATTATATATATGTTTTTTAAAATCCTCCCTTCAAATTTTGTGGATTAAACTTGAAAATCCCTCCTCACAAGTTTTATAAGTGAAACTTGAAACCCCTTCCTTACAAGTTTTATAAATAAAACTTGGAACCCCTTTCTCACAAATTTTATGGATGAAATTTGAAAATCCCGCCCTCACAAGTTTTGCAAATGAAACATGGAAACCCACAAATTTTCTAGTGAAACTTGACAAACCTTCCTTCACAAGTTTTCTAACAAAACTTGACAAATCCTCATTCATTTGAACTCTTCTCTTATTTAAGATAGTGGCCCCTTTATAAATCAAGTGATTTTTCTCATCTCAAGAGTTTTTATTTATTAATCTAACACCTTAATCTTAAAAGAGCAAACAAGTCCCTAAAATAAATATAATATTTTAATTCTAAATAATATTATAAAGACAAATAATATCTTTTTATATCTAAACAATATCTTAATAATTTGAAATTAAAAATTTGAATTATTTTTTTAACAATTTGTTGGAGTACAAGCAAAAGCCCACATTATTGAACCATGAGAAAAAAATAAAGGTTTATAAAGTATATTAAATTAAAAATATATTTTTAGATAAACTATATTCTGAAACCCTTGGTTGATTCATAGGTGGTTATTCAAGTGGATGGGAATTAGGCATCCAAGTGTTGGGTCTCTAATCTTGATGACAAATGGTGAAAATTTAGTTCTTGATCCGTGATTCGTATCTCTAATATCTTTTGAACCACTTGTGCTTAAGATTAGCTCTTTACATCAATAGAATCATGTATTTAGCTTATAAAGAAAAAGATAAAATATATTGTAATATCATGTGTAATCTTAATTTAATTTTAGTTTTAAATTTTTACACACTATATTAATTAAAAATTTAAAATGACGTGTCTTGATTTAAAAATAAATTATTTGCATAAGTCCTTCCATAAAGTTAAAAAAAAAAAAAAAACTTATCTCTATAATTTTTTCTCATTTAATAAAATAGAATAGTCATTATTAATAATGACAACATCTTTATTTTATTCTCTTCAATTTTTATTTATAATTTTTCACTTAAACTTTTAAAAACATCTATGCAATATATGAGATACAAACAGTTCTATATATAAAAATAATCTTTTAAATTTCATGGACATAATAAAAATATCATTTTTATTCTTGAAAAATTAACCAAGTAAAGATATAATTAGTGTTAATTGTTATAACTAGTTCATTTAGTTAATTGTTATAACTAGTTCATTTAGTTGCTATCCCATTTTGTGTTGTTCCATCACACAGTTCTTTTCCAAAATTTAGGTGATGTGTTCTTCCAAGTTGACCAATTATCAATCTCTCTAAGAGAGGTGGAAAAGAATCTTCTGAGAAGATAATGCTTGACTTAATTAGGGGAGCTCATGAACGTCCTAAAACCACTTTAAGAAAAGATAAGAGTTTTAAAACACTACAGTGCTCATCTTTATTCTCCACCAATGTCCTTTCATCGTTATTTGGTGCTTTGTCCTTGTCGTTAAGGATAATTGGAAGCACTTACAATTTACAATACTATTTTATGCTAACCTAATATCACTTTTTGTGTACGCAAACTTTGGATCGATGTCCTTTTAGTCCCTACGCGCATGCTTTCTAACTTTCCATTTCAACCCCCTTTTAAAATTTGATCAGCTTATGAAACTTTGCCTACTGGATGAGATCAAATTCATAATGCCAAATTCATTATTATGATGAAGATTATATGATTAATGTCATCCGATATCATGTCAATCATCGATCGGCTTATTGACTACTCTACTACTAATATTCTCTTTAAAGACAAGACTGGTGAGATTTAATCAAGGTTTTTGGTCATGACTTTCTGTTAAAATCAGTAGCTCCTGTCTAGTTTTAATCAAGTAGGTGTGTATATAGATAGATAGTGTTTGATCACTGTTCTTTATGAGTTGAAATACTGCTTATAATTCCATACATATTTTTTTGTTGGCTTATAAAAAAAATTATTCTTTTTCACTCGTATGAAATTTGATTTTCATAGAGTTGCTTTTATAGTAGTTTTTTAAATAAAGAGAAAAAAAATTCTAAACTGCTTAAATACTCATGAGAAGAACTCTCGTGTTGTTCGTAATAACTAAACAGAATTTTATCATATAGAAGATATTTGTGGTTTATAAAAAAAAAAATATATATATATATATATATATATATAGTCTCCGATAAAAGTTTGGTTTGCTAGAATTTGTTGTAAAGTTTATTATGGGTACGATAAAAAATATTCTTTTTCAATAATATAAAATTTGGATTTTGATGTTTAAAATGATAAGGAATTTTAAAATTTTTAAAATTTGAATTGATTTTATTGATTTATTTACTTTAAATATTTTTTTATAAATAGCTTCAAATTTTTAAATTTTAAGTTTACACAATTTAATTTTTCATTATATGAAAATTTTCTTAAATATATTTAAAATTTTGAAATTTCGATATTACAAATCATCTAAAATAAATATTGGCTAATTTTTTTAAAATATTTAATAATTTAAAATTTTGATAGTAGACCATATTTAATAATTTTAAATATTGAGTAATTCAAAATTAAAAATGTTAATTATTTTAATTTTAAAGTTGATAAAGTGAAGAAATAGAGAAGAAATTAAAGAGATGGGAAAAAAGAGGGAGACAAGTATTACAAGAAAATCATCTTGTAGTGATAGATAAAAATCATCACTAAAAATTGAAAATTTATAGATAAATGTCTATTTTAAATTGACCTACAAATGATCTATTTGTCTATTGTATAAGATGTATAACAATGATTTTTTTAGATTTTATCTATAACAAATAATTATAATTTTGTTATAAGTATAATTATTTAAGTTTATTTAATGATGACGCACTGTTAATGTAAAAAGTTGTATACAATCAATCAATTAGAAATCATAATTTGTATGACTTTTATAAGATAATTATTATAAAAGTTAAAAATCTTATCATATGATAAATTGTGATTAAATGATATTTTACATAATCAGTATATCACCATTAAACCCTTTAAGTTATACCTGCAGTAAATGTTTATATATAGGTAGATATATTTTTGTTTTACTCACAATTGTAAGTATAAGTTTTTTTCCTTGTATTGATTTCAAAATATATTACATACAAATGATATACAAAAAAGTTAGATATAATATATGTAAATATAAATTTATTTGATATATATTTTAGTGTCAATTTTGTCTGAAATTTTATATATATTGTATGTTATTATAATTTATATCTACACTTTTTTTTAATAATATAAGATATATATTATATCTATAATATAGGTAAAAAATATTTTTTAATAATAAATAATGTGTTACTATAGGATGTATGTTATTTTTATTTTATTTTTTTTTGTAAGGAAATAGAGTAAGGAGAGAAAGAAAGAAGAGAAAAGAGAAAGTGAGAAGTTAGATACAATAAAAGCGAGACGAGAAAAAGAAAAGAGGCACTACAAGAAAATTGTCGTATAGTGATATACATCCTATAATGACACAATAAGTGTCACTAAAAACTACTTTTTACCTACATAATAAATATAATATATGTTGGTATATTGTTAAAAAGTGTAAGTATAAGTTATAGTGACACACAAAATATATTGTTAAATCCTATTCAAAATCAACACTAAAATTATGTGTAGCTATATGTCAAATAGATATATATATACCTACATATATTATATACTTATAGTGACACTTTTTATATGTCACTATATATATAACATTTATTGTAGTGAGAGAAAGAGTAAGAAAATAGAGGAGAGAGAAAGCAGAGAGATAAAAGAAAGAATAAATATTTTTTGTGAAAATTGAAATTTTACAATTTTAAATAATTAAATTTATTTTCATAAATTATTAAAATATCAAAAAAATTTCTAAATTTTTTTATTCAAATAGCATATTTCACTACAATGTATTTCAAATGCACTAAAATAAAATTGAATCTCTCTTAAAATTCTCCTTAAAGTATTAAAACATTTTAAAATTCGAAAGGAGGGGCAAAAAAAATAGTAACAAACAAGAGTTTGGTACGCTAGGAAATTAGGGGTATATAATAATTTCCACTAAGGTCTAATTTCAACTATTATCCTAATTAATATATGTCACTCCACTAACTTCTTAGACTTAGTGCCCCAACAAAAGCAAAGTGGTCTGCATACACCTTTTGTGTTTGAATATTTATATAGAGTGAGAACACTTTCTTACAAAATAAAACTGTCTACTTCAGTTTTTTCTTCAAAAGGCTTCCTCTGTGGGGGAATTTATTGTTCCTTGCAATATAGATAGGAAACAGAAACACCAGTTTTTGTGAACTCAAACGTAGAAAATATCAAGTTGCACAAATCATCATGGGCACTCTCATGCTTCTCAAGAAATTCACCCTCCTCTTTCTCCTCATTTCTGCCTCACTTTTATCAACTTCTTTTGCAGGTGTGTCTTTTTAGGTCTTCTTTGTTGCAGCCTTTGGTAGCAATCACATGTCAGCGATAGCATGGCTAAAAATAAAAGAGCTTGAGTGCAAATATATGAACACATAAATATATTTTACGCATACCAAGTTCTCTAACATCAATAACAATGATATTGTTTGGCTCATGTTAACTTTGATATGTGGAAATTAAATTAGTTTAATGTGTTTCATCACATCTTCTCTTTTAAGCCTCTAAGTGCATGGCATGTGATTAACTGGACACAACTTTATTTGAGATTTAGTTTTTCATTATTGTATATATATCATGTATAAAGTATTCTCACTCACACAACATGAAAATTGTAAGGTCTGAAATTGCTGGATATGACATGTCTGTGCTTAATGCATATATGCAGGTAGACGATCCATCTCTATCAAGAACTTCGTTAAAGATGGGAATGCAATCCAAGAGGTATGCATGCATGACCAAGTAATCGTCATCTATTATTTATATTTAGATTATGTTTAGATATAATTTTTTATAAGTATTTTTTTGAGTTTCTTTACTAAAAATAAAGAATTATTTTCAATAAAAAAAAAAAATTTAGCAACACTTGTAGCTCGTAACGAAACAAGCTATCAGCATCGTATACTTTCATTTTAGCATTTCCTCAATCCGGTTAGTTCAAATATAAGAAGCAGTTTGCAAGAACAAAATGTTACCTTACCCCTTCTGATCGTCACTCCTCTCTTCTAAAGCATTTTTTTTTTTTGAACCAGCCAAGAATATATTGAATATAACTTATTTATAAAGCATATATTATAATATTTATTTATTAACAAACCTTTAAAATATTGCTAGCTGCTTGGAAACCAAATTATGCTCTTTATCAATATAACTTACTCCCCCTTTTATCTCTCTTGAAATCTTTGTAGTTGTACCTAACAAAATGGTGCAGAACTCATGAACTACCTATATATTACCTTCCAATTTGAAAGAGCGCCCATGAAAGAGCATGTCCTTTGTTAATTTCCCTCTTCTTCTTTTTCTTCTTATTTATTTAATGTCCTTTGTTCTTTTTCTTATGTGTATCTTTGTTAGGAGCTAGCATATCATGTCATCATGAAAAAATGAAAGTAATTAATCTTCACTGTACAATCATACATATTTAGATAGAATAAATAGTGTGAAGAATTTTTACATTAATTGTTATCTATCACAATTCCCAAACCATGGTATGTGGTAAGTTTGTTTATATTTTTTTACAATAATTATCATCAAAATTATACCTGTGTACATAATGCATAGAAATTAAACTCATAGAGATAATTAAGATTAACTATTTTTATTTTTCACATTCTCATCATCAAATTAAAAGAAGGTATAATTTTCTAATTTTCCATTTTTCATTTCTTTAGCATCTCCAAATATTTCATTTAAAGTTTAATGTACACTCAGCTGCTATATTCATGCTTTGTTAATTTGCTAGGAAACACCAAGGAAGCCAGTGAATAAGGAAGAAGTAAGAACTATAAACGAGAGGCTTCTTAGGGCTAACACCAAAGATTATGGACGATATGATCCATCGCCATCTCTCTCTAAGCCTCCTTTCAAGCTTATACCTAATTAACGTAACGTTCAATATGAGAATCTTGGAAGTGGGTGGAATAAGTAGCATAAATAATTGGCTTTAATCTTGTAATATAAGTATGTCATATATAGCAAAAGAAATACGGGCCATGTCAGGAACCTGACAATTTAGTAGCATAAATATATATAGATATTAGAAGATGTACGTGTGCTTTACATATTACTAGTTCAAGTTTTGTTGTATGAGTCCATAATATACATATATATACTTGGTATTGTCTTATCTAGAAATGATCGTGAACTAGTATACTGTTATGAGTGAAACAAAGTAATGAGATAACGTATGTATGTTGAATTCGAGTGACTTTGCTCTCTGGTCTTTAAGCATAATTTTCCAAAGTCAAGGAAGATCATAGTGAAGATAATATTGAGATTTGAAAGGATAAAAAATTATTTGATATATACTATAGTTACCAAAATAAAATGACCATACACTTGTAGACCTAGCTAGCACAACATATATAGGATAAGGAATGGGTCGATCCTTTCATTTTTTTTTCCCTTCTGTTTAGATCTTACTAATCTGATTCCTGAAGTTTAAACACATAAGATAAAATTATTTGCAAAGAAAATAATAAATAAATAACTTTTATTAGAAACTACATGGAGATGCATAATTAGAAATCCTAACGAAAGTGCATTAATAACATTTTTAATAAAAAAATTAGAGTTACTTTTAATAATCAATAATCTTAACACAAAGGTTAATATTTGTTTATATATATATATATATATATATTTATTGAT